AAATCCATAAAGGCTGCAGGTGCATTAGTTAAGCCGAATGGCATAACTAAGAATTCGTGATGCCCGTACCTTATCCTGAATGCTGTTATGGCAACATCTTCTTCCCTGACTTTAAGCTGATGATATCCTGACCTCAAATCGATTTTGGAGAAGTAACTTGCTCCCACCAGTTACTACATCCGGTGATGCTTCTGCCTCGTTCTTAGTCATCTGGAAGGATCATCCCCGCGCCCCTCCTTGCCCTCCTCTGTTTACGGTAGGCCTTCCCCGAGTACCCGACGCATTACTCCCCATTGTTAACTGCGGAGTTCTTAACAATGGACAATTTGGTCGAATATGATCCGGAGAATTGCAATTAAAACACCTTCGGTTAGCTGGGCAATTTTTGGATAAATGACCTGCCTCACCGCACTTATAACATTTCCTTGGGTCCATCTTGCATTCTCCCTGATGAACCTATCGGCATTATGAGCAGACTTTTTCACTGATTTTCTGTTCAGATCTGTTATCATATCTAACAGTTTTCGGCCCTCGAAAAGATGAAGGTCCCTCCCATTTTCTTTTCTCCACAATATTTCCTTCCGATTGTCTATTCTTATTTTGTTCAGTCACCTCAGCTGCATCTACTGTTAGTGGAAAGGTAATTAGGGTTCATAGCAATAACAAACTCTCTGATTGAGGGTTTCAGACCCCAAATAACTTCAGAAAGTCTTCCTCCATTTGTCTTAATGCTGTTTTAGGACAAAATTGATTTTTAAATCTATCCACAAATTCTACCCAGGACAGAGTTTGTAAAACATCCGTTCTGGTAGACGATTCAACTTCCCACCAAAATAAAGCATTTGATTTTAATACAGAAACAACAAATCGAACTTTATCTGTTTCCGGACACCGAATGGTGTTGAACACAGATTCCATCTCCTTAATCCAGCACATAGCTTTCACTGGATCTCTCTCCCCAGAAAAGGTTGGTATTTTGCATGCTAAAAACATCTTAATATCTCCTTTATTCAGAGTGATTGGAGCAGAGGGATAAACTTCTACTCTTTCTGTTTCCACTCTAGCCGGTATTCCCATAATAGATGTCAGAGTTTCCCGTAATTTCCCCATTTCCTCTGCCAACATATCTCTGGTTATATATTCTGGGTGTGGCACCGACCTTTCCTGAACATTCCCAGAGTGGGATTCCACATGTTCAGAATGTATCCCAGTCCGACCCCTTCCCTGAGATTGAATTTATTCTCTGCCTCGTCCTCTTACTCTTCCTCGACCTCTATTTTCGGATGTACTAGTAGATAGATTTACAGGTGATTCTCCTCTTTCCTCAGATTCTGGACGAGTCATTCTTTCAGATCTTCTAGTTCGGCTAGACATCTGCAAAGTTTAGTGTTAATAATCAC